TTTTAGCCACCCTGGCAGGGGCACTGATGCACATGACACTGGAGCCTGCTGGAGTGCAGAAATTTCCACACTCCAAAAGACTCGATTAAATGGACTCTGCTCTAACGTACTGTAATTACGGCACATCAGAGCAGCCTCCTTGTGTGTGTATAGGAGCCCAATGAGTTTTAGTGAGCTGTCAAGGGCCACACACTTGAAACCTTTCATAAAATATCATTTTAACAAATTATAGATTAAAACATACAAGTCATGTTAAAAATCAAACATCTACTATAATATATTTTAATCTTACTTCAAAAAGTAATTTTTGTCCTGATTTATGTTTTTTGGCTAGTGGGTATAGAGGCAATTGCATAATAGCTCAAAATAGTCTTACCCTTGAATATTGTGTGGGGAGGATGAGTGTGTGTGGGGGTGGGGAGGGGAGGGAGGGAGTGTGGGGTTGGTTGGGTATGTGCATGTGTGTTGGGGGCTGTCCACACATTAGGTCCTGGGAGCCAGCTGGGAATTGAGTGAGTTTTTCTTCCTTCCCCCCCTCCAGGTGGTACAGTGCAGGTGTGGTCACCCACGGCTAACTCCATAGTGCTCCACATACAGCTAAAGCGCGCCCACTCCTGCCTAGGGCAGCCTGTGCCAGACTCCTGCCTACACCCACCCCATGCCTGCCCCACACTGCTAATGGCACACCCCAAGCCAGCACGCACAGCACTGCTGCAAATGCCCACGTACTGCTTGGATCTCTCCTACCTTCAGTGGTTCCTCCTCCTCCACCTGCCTCCACCATGCCACTCCCAGCAGCACGCGTCATGGGGAAGCAGCTATGGCCATGGGTGCATGAGCTGGTCACCACATGCCCAGCCAGACTGGGAGGAAGCTGCAGCTGGGGAGCTCCTGCCCTAGCGTGCAGAACTTCAGCTCCAGGCCGCTTTCCACCCACTGCACCTACCCAGTCCCATGGGCAGCCACCTGTGTGTGGAAGGCAGCCCCAGCAGAAAGGTGTGTGCGCTGATTGAAGTGGTGCTGTCAGCAGGCATGAGCTGCCCCAGACAGGAGGACAGCACAGGCTTGGCCCCCTGCGGAGCACTGTGGGGGCAGCTGTAGGCCAGATACAATCAACTGATAGGCAAAATATGGCTTGTGGGCCAGATCCAGTCTATCACTGTGCTTACCATTTCTACACACAGAAAGCGTAATACTACCAGGCCAGACGACATTCAAATTCCTCCTAAAACTTCATTTTCTTCTAGATACTCAAGCTACTCTCTTTGTGACCTAAATAGTTACTCTGTGCTTTACAAGTACTTTTTTTTTTATGGAGGTCTTAAACTCCAACCAGCCCACTCCACAGAGAAGTTTAAAGGTCTCTTCCAAGCATCTTAAAATGAAAGTTAGCAGTTATACCTGCCAATCCATAACACCCAACTGAAAGTCACTCTCAACACAACAAAAATATCAAGGGAGAAAAACTACTGAGAAACCAGTCATTATAATCTAATTTTCATTCCTATTAAAAACAATTAAAAGAACAATTACATAAATAACACAAAGAATGAGAGAGAAAAAAACCCAGCTGTTATTTAGTATATACTGCAGACATAATTAATCACAAAATTATTCCTACAGCCTCTGTTACATTTTTCTCCTTTTCTCACACAGAAGAATTCTCACTTGTGACATGTTTACAAGTATACTGTTCAACCAGGTCTTATTTATAAGTTTTTAATATATAAATTGATTTGTAAAAGTGGATTACAGAAACTAATCTATAAATAACAAATATTTTACAGAAGTTCACTAAATGCTTGACTACATATGAAATGAACTGGGTTTAAACACAATGCTTCTTGATCAACTTCTACATTTAGCACTACAAAGACTATGCATCACTGGTTAATAACTGAGACTTAACAAGAAAAAAGACATACTATGAAGTGGAAACTAGAAGTTTACTAGGTACTTTGCTACCCAAAGGACTTGCAGGAAGTCCAGGCTTCTCTTTTTTCAAAGAAAAACCTTATATTCTGCTCAGAAAGGGGAAGAGCATATTTTTCCGAGCTCATGCTCTGAAGTACCATCTTTTACATTGGTCTCTGGCTAATATACATGACATACCTTTGAAAGCATTCTCCAATAACCACTCTTTTCTTGCAGCAGGAATGAAAGAAAATCTCTCTCCTTACCCAACCCCAATGCTTCCTGCCTATTAAGGGACTGCTTCAAGAACTTTGAGGGGTGAAGGGCAGCAGCAGAGGTAGGCAGAAAAAAAGAGAAAAAACAGTTCTTCTAAAAGCCACTCATCTACTAACATTTTTTTTTTTTTTAAACTTCCTCCCTCCCACACTACTACTAATGGATGTATACACTATACGTAGCCTCGTTTTCTCAGAAGAGGAGTAAAGCAAAGCAAGTCCTGCTCCTCGGAGCTCTTCAGCACCTACCTCTACTGTTTTTCAGAGTGACAGGATTACTCTGTCCGGCAAGGTTCTTTGAGTAGATGTGCTATCTACCAACTGAGTAGTTGGAAAAAGTATACAGCAAGCTTTTGGGCACAGTCACCCTTCTGTAGGCATAGGGAGTCTCTGGTGTTCTGAGACTCCAAGAAATAAGAGAAGCTAAAAAATGTGACAGGATGTCAGTGAGAATGTAAATAGGTAGAAATTAGGAAGATAAAAAGGTAAAGCAGGGAAAGAGCCACCCAGATGCCACTGTGAAGATCTGCTGCAGTACAAAAAGAAAATGCCCACAAATCTCACATAATTAGTTATGACATATCACCCTTCCCTGGAACCTACACAGCAATTCCTCAAAAAAAGTTGCAACCCATACTAGAAAAAGGCCCAAGTCTTAAAGAGCTCTTTCCAGAACCACCCATCCTAGCCTTTAAACAAGCACTGAACCTCACTACCCTCCCATCACCAGAAGCAAACTCCCTATGGCTCAAACCACACCAAATGGATCCAGAACATGCCAGAACAAGAAATGCAAAAATTGCCAACACATCTCCACCACCCCCACAATAACTACACCCCACAACAGAACCATCAGCATTCCTGGATCTTACACCTGCACCTCCATAAATGTTATACATCTCATTCAGTGCACTAAATGCCCTGATGGAAAATGTGTAGGAGAAACCAAACAACTGCGCACCAAAATGAACATACACTGAAAATCTATCAAAAGACAAGAATACCCAACTATCTGTGGATGCACATTTCTCACAAGACAGCCACTTTCTCTCTGATCTCTCAGTTCTAATCCTCGAAGGAAACCTACAAAACACCTTTTGTAAATGAGCCTACAAACTTCACTTCATAAACCCACTGGATACAAAAAGTCATGGACTTAATATAGACATTGGATTTGACACATTACAACCTGCCTGACATCTGACTCACCAGGTACCTGCCTAACCTCACCTTGTACACTTTTCTTTTCCCCCACTCCTTTTTCCCCTCCATCTTCCTAATTCCCAGCTATTTCTTTTTTCACAGACAGCCTCTTTTTTACCTTGAACTACCACCACTGTAGAGTCTCCTTTTCCCTGTTACCTTTTGTCCTCCTAATTTCTACATATTTAGATTCGCACTGACATCTTGTCACACTTTTAGCTTCTCTCATACCTTGGAGTCGCAGAACAGCAGAAACTTCCTATGCCTCAAGGAGGGTGACTGTGCCCAAAAGCTTGCTATGAACCCCCCCCAAATACTCATTCAGTCTAAAAGACAGCACCATCTACTCAAAGAACCTTGCCTGCTTAAGTCCTTAAACCAACACGGCTACAACCAAAAATCCAGCAGAATTACTGTTTCACTCTCAGGACACTGAATAATAAAATGGTAAGAAAGCAACCGGTCTCTTATGTGAGAGGTTCCTGACCCCTGGGCCAGGGCCCAGTACTAAGCCACAAAGGGGTGGTTGCTGGCCTGCAGCAGGGTTGGCTGCCAGACCGGAAGCCCAGAAGTGACCATCAGCCAACCCTTTTTTACACTGAATATATAAAAAGGTTGGCTGCCACTGCTAGTCTGTATGTCCATGGTCACGTCTGGTCCGCAGCATAAAGAGGTTGGGAACCCCTGTCTTACATGAGAGAAAGCAGCCAGTCTCTTAAAACATTTGCTTTGCTGCTTTTGGGTAAAAGCAATGAGCAGCACTAGACAGACTATGAAAGAGCACACCACAGTTATACAGGCAAAGTTATTTGTGCAGCCATAGTCCCCAAAGAAAAGACTGCCTTCTGCAGAAATTCATCCCCTGACATCCTTCACAGAAAAGTTTTCTCCTCCCTTGTGGTGGTGAATGACTGAAAATTTCAGGTGGGAGGAGGTATCCCCAGCCCCTGGTGTCTAAGCCTAGGGATCAGTGCTCCCCGAGGGTAAAGCTAACAGACAGCAGGTCATGCCAGTCCTGGCCTTACCCCCGTAGGTATTTCCTATCATTTGAAACGCCACAGGCCACTTGTGCCCCACTCCACAACCAAGTACTACGCTCCTCCTGTTTTATTTGACTGGTTTAGGGGCTTCCCCGCGAGCCGCTCCCGTCCCAACCTGATTAAGCCGCCTCGTCACGTCTCCGCTGCGGAGACCGGAGGCGGACGCGCACGGACCGCACCCGGTAACTGCAGCGGGAACAGGCAAGCCCAGTGGAGCGGGTGCGAGGCCTCCGGGCTCGCAGAGAGGGGGCGGCGATGCCTGTCCCACGGCCGCAAGCAGACGCGGCGCAGCAGGGCCGGGCACTCCAGGGGGCGAGGGGGTAGCTCCCCCCTCGGCCTCAGCCCCGGCCGCAAGCACTTACGGTGCCACACCAGACTCTGTAATCCGCGCTCCCCAGCCGCGGCCCCCATCGGCGCCATCTTGCTGCCTCTGCTCCGCCCTCAGCTCACGTCACACCACCCTCAAGTCACCCAGCTCTTGCCCCGCCCCGCCCCCCCGCGAGGCCCGGCGGGGGGCGGGGCCAGGGGCTGTGGAGGGCGGGAGGGTGAGCACTGCCTGTTGCAGTGCCCGGGGCACCCCCCGAGGGAGGCAGCTGCGCCGCGGGGACGCTCCTGGGAAGCAGGAGCTGCCGCTGAGCCCATCCGTGCCTGCCGCGGGGAGGCGGCGCCCCCAGGATGGGCGGCAGAAGATGTGAATCCGTCCTGTACCCTGCCCTCGCCCTCGCCAGCCTGGCGGCGGTAAGCTCCCGTCCCGCCTGTCTGCTCGCCCGCGGGGTTGAAACAACCCCCCAGGCTGTTCTTGGTCAGGGGCAGGATCCTGTCAAGGACCCGTTCCCTCTGCTCTCTTCCCGAGCCCCGCCGCGTGCTGAAGGAATCAAAACTCGTGGCAGAGGAGCTGTCTTTTATTAGACCGACTAGATATTTGCTCAAAAAAAAAATCTTTATTTGCAAGCTTTACGGGCACAGGGACCCTTCATCATCTCCTATACCTGTGCCCAAAAGCTTGCAAATAACTAGTTGGTCTAATAACCCTGCCATGAGTTTTGATTCCTTTTACCTCTAGATCAATACAGCTACAGCCTGGATACCTGCCATTTACTCTGATTTTTTGCCGGATCCCTGTAACAGACCCGGGGGGCGGGAAGGAGATGGGGTGGAAAATGTTCTGCTTGTGTAACACAAGGTCTTTTGAAGTCTGTCAGCACCTCTAAGCTTTCCCCTTCTGGATCAATCGGCAGATTCAGAGAGGAAATGAAATGGGAATGTGATCCGCATACCTATGCTGCATCCCACTGACTTGCCAATTCACCTTCCACAAGCTTGCCAATGCTTGAATGTACCGAGTAAAGAAGTAATCAGAACTCTTGGGGAGGCGATACCTTTTATTAGATCAACTAAAAAAAATTGCAAATATAGAATTTTTTTGCAACTATCTAGTTGGTCTAATAAAAGATAGCACCTCCCCAAGAGTTCTGATTACTTTTGCCTATAGACCAACATGGCTACAACCTGTATTCCTGTATAAAGAAGTAAACCTGTACAGGAATAAGTTGTCTGCTTAAAATTATAATATTTAAAGAGCTCAGGGTTGGGACATCTAGAAATGAAATGAAATGTGTTGTGTTTTCCCAAAACCAAGTATTTTGCCTTGTTTCTAATCTTCTAAATATTCCTTTTCAGGTCATTTCAGCTAACACAGGTAATGCCTCAAAAAGGTGATTTTGGTTACCAGCTTTTTTTTGTTTTGTTTTTTTTATGGACAGCGAGAAAACCTAAAGAGTTCCTATTGTTGATGCAAATCAACTTTTAAGTTTGAATAAATTTGTAATTGAAAATGCTAACTACATTTGATGGGCCTGGTTTTATTTGAAATAAAAATGTATGTTTCTTTCTACAGCAAAAAGAATTTAGACAGTAGTTTTGGAAAAATAATTCCCTATGCTATTTTACCTCCACACAAGCTTTCTGTCTTATTGCTTACAGTCTGAGTTTGAAGATTATCAAAGACTGAACTCAGCTTGCACTGAACAGTGTCGTCTTAGGAAATATCCAGTATCTATATAGCCTTGCTACTGTCAACTGCAGATTGCTTAGTGTCTGCTTAGTTTATGATAGGTATTTTTTCCTCTTGAACTACAACTTTTAATTCTGTTTTGTATAATATTAAAACTAAACATGCAACACAATTCACCTTTTCTTCTCTTCAGTCTCGTATTCTTTGTGCACCCAGAACTCCCGTTGGCTTGAGTGCATATTTTGATTGAAGCATGAATGCAGGATTGAGCTCTGAGAATAATCCATTTAGTGTATATTGTAGAAATATTATATTACAGTCTTCTAAAGTTCTAAATATGACAGTTTAACAATGTAACTACAGTATTTGGGTAGTTATTATAGCATATTGCATTTTTCCACCAAATTGTTAGAAATCTCATTTGACTCCATAAACCCTTCATGGGTGAAACGCTTCTTGATATCACAGGGATTTTTGTGCGCTGAAAAGTATTTGCAGTATTACAAAAGCTGAAATACAAGTAAAAGCAGTACTGACAACCTCAAATATTAAAAAAGAATGAGAGTCAGCCCCTGCAAAATAATTAAATTATATAAGAATCACAACATTAGCAAAATACATTTTGTCTCTCCTTTATTTTGCTGTCTCATTTTTAAGCTTTTCAGAATAAATTAAGGTTGCCTACTTGTTTTTGTTCCACAATCACGTGGGCAAGAAAGTCACCTTTTTAATGAAAGGTGAGGTGTTTTTTTCAGGTATTCATGAAATGCCAACGTTTGGATCTTTTTTAAGACAGTTATCACAGACTCACAATAATGTTGTGGGACTTGGCAACATAGTATCACTACAGGATTTTCCTGGCTTAGAAAAATTGATAGAGAAAATATAGTTCCATTTTCTTTTAATGCAAACTTTAATTTTCAAATGATTTTTAAGTACCCACTTGAGATGCCTCATATAATGAGTGTCAAACATATGATCTGTGAGCCAGATCCAGCCCATGGTGCTGCTTCATCCAGCCTGCTAAGCTGCCAGTGGGTCAAAGAACTTGGTGGTGAGACTAGCAGTGGGCAGGGCCTGCTACAGAATCACGTTCCCTTGTGAACATGACTCTTAGAAGTGCAGGGGTAAATGAGGGCTGTGCCAACACAGCTCCACTCACCTTGTGGCTGCTTGCCCACCAGTGCTTGTGCCACCTGTCACAGCAAACAGTTACCTAGCCCACAATTGCTTGTCCCACTGCCACAACTGCATGTGCTGCTGCCCCTATCACCAACAGCCCCACAGATCTAATCAACCAAGGAGCCCCACAGCCTGGATCTGGCCCAGAGAACAGGGTGAGTTGGTCACCCCTGCTTTAGAGGGATTGACTTCCAGAAGTTCTGAATACCTGCCATCTGAAGACGAGGCTACGTCCAGGTTATCAGGCTTA